TCAGATCAACTCATTTTGAAGCTGTCTCTTTAAATTCAAACAAGGCACTTCACACATTGCCACCCTCCAGCTTCCAGAGCGATCCATTCTAGTTTGATAGAGGGGTTTATGACTGTATAGCAGCGCAGAAACATTTTTATTTACAAATTATTTAAAAGATGTCAAGAACAGAAGTTTTGTCCATCCAGCCAGAGGAAAATGGAGACCACCAAATTATAGTTGGTAAGTCCAGACCTTATGCAGTTCTGTCACAAATACTTTTATGTAAAAGTTCAGAAAACAAGATAAAAAATGGAAAAAACTGAACAGGTTGAAAAATATGACCCAAACAGAACATAAAGTTATCTACGCAGAACCGAGTGAGACTAAATTTAACTTTTMTGAAATCTTRGAGAATCCAAATACACAACAAAAYAAATTTAATGGCTAAAAAAGTGGACTTTGCATCAGATATCTTCTTTAACTAAACCAGATACATCATGAAAAAACTGAGATCCGCAACACTTGATGCAAAAAACAAATACTGTTTTATTACCTTTTTTTATAAACCAATTTACTAAAATTCACACAGAAAACATAGATTAAACAATGAGACATGTTAATACAAAATACAAAAATACAAAATACATACATAATACAAAATGTATAAAGCATTATTAGGATTGTTACCATCAACACATTTCACAGTATAATTGTAGTGTGTGCACAGGAGAAGTTAGACMGTGTGGTTTTAATCCTGTGGTTGTGAGCGCGTGGCTCCAGAGKAAATTTATCCAAATTTATTGGGTGAGTCACAAAATAAATGAACACTAAAGGTTGCTACTGAAGCACCATGTATCATCATTTTCCACACAAAATGCACACTCATATATCTGCAGGAACAGGCTTCAAAATGATGTACTGCCATTGGTCCCAAAATGAGCAATTACAGGCAGATATGGTCAATTTGTCTTTGGCGGAGCATCATGACAGTCTATTACCTCCAGTTAAAATAAGATACAATTTAGTTTTGGTTGAATGTGTTAAACAAGTCAGTCACTACAGACTGCTACAATGCTACACCACCATCTTGAAATGCTCTACAGTTCTACTCAGAAATACTGAACCAGAGTAAGAGAGAAGTTTGTGGTGTGCATGGTGTTCTCAGCAATGAATATGTACTGATAACGTGCTTCCTTTTACCMTGATCCACATATCTGATCCTATGGYACAATATGAGGGTCAAAATTAAGACTATAWTGCACAACCAGTAGTTGCTACATCTTTGTAGCAAGAGGCTATATCTCTTCCTAAGCCAGCTATTGATCTGATTAATGACTAGCATGGAYAARCTGGTGTTAGCATTGGAGRGGCAAGCAACTWGCATGCCTAGGCTAGAGACCCAACTCCTTCTGCTGTGCATTGGCATGGATAGGCTAGCAACTAGCATGGCTGCTCACTTAAAGAGAAAAAAAACAGCCAATCAACAAGGCCAAACACAGCTGCTAATTCAGCTGGTAACTAAAGTTGTCAGTTTCACACTAATATGCTTTGAGTTCAATATTCATGATTGGCGCCAGTGGTGGGCAGCGCTAATCCAAAAATTAGCTCTGCAATTTCCAAAGTGCTTATGAAATAATTTAGGTCCACAATTTTAAAAGCACTTATGCCACAGAAATATTAGCGGAAGCTAATTTTAAAGCACAAATTCAATTTAACACTTACTAGTTGGCAACAGTCCATGTACAATATATGCACAACACTGCCAACTAGCAGTTTATGAACTCTTTTACAACTTAACTCTACAACCGTTGATTAATGGGGATGTGATTTCCTGAAACAGACATTTGGCTCCTGGTGTAAAAATTAAAACGTTGTTGAGGATTGCTAGTTTAGCTGATTCTTTAAAAAATTGTTGAGGATTGCTAGTTCAGCTGCTTCTTTGTCTTTTWCTTTTGTTTGTTGTAGATTTTTCATTAAAGAAGCATCAATAAAGTAATTTTAAAACTGTTTATTGGAAAACTGAAGCGATGCACCCTGGGTACATGACGGACATGATTTGTGACGGGAAACGAAAGCACAGTTGCTCCAGTTGACCACTAGATGTCTGTCTTCATCAGCATAACATCTTTAAATCATTTCTGAGTCTGTAACCCCGTCGGCCGATTGCTTCGACCAGTTACGTCAAGTATTGAGTTCCAGCGTTTAAACTATTTTTTTAAGAAGGAGCTCTTATTGTAAAGTAAAATAAATCAATACAWACAAAATTTTAGCATGGATTAGGCTACAAACGTTAAGTGTTTTTGCTATTGCCTTCCTGCTACGWAAGCAGACACAAAGCATTGTGGGAAATGAGAACTGTGACCCAAAGCAACAGTCAGCAAGGATGTAAACCTTTCCAATAAGTGTGTTTATCTGGGAGGGGTGCTGTTGGATAGATCACGTGTGTTTTGATTCATTGACAGTCATACGTTCCGCTGTTCAAGATAATGATAACTGGTAGATAATTAGTTATTAGCGGTACTGCATTTTAATTTTAGAAAGCGCAAATCCGCTTGTGAATTATAAAAATTAGTAAGACCGCTAAAGCGCAAACAAAATATTAAGGTCTGCAATTAGCGGATTTGTGCTTTAGCGGGCTGGTGCCCACCACTGATTGGCGCCATGTTAAATTCTGTCTAAGGAACATTAGTGCATGYCGCTAATAAGTTTTGTATGTCAACCATTTTTGTTGAGAAAGTTTTTATTGAAAGAAACTTTGTGACTAACAAAGAAGGTGAGCTCATTTGCCGGCCTATCATTAATCAGATCAATAGCTGGCTCAGGAATAAATATAGCCTCCTGCTAAAGAGATGTAGCAACTGCTGGTTGCGCAATAGTCTTAATTGTGGCCCACATACTGCGCCATATGATCCTACCTTTGCCAACAGAATTAGATCAAAGATTTTGCAACGTCTCTGTGACTGCAAACAGGCTGGTGAAGTAAAAGATGCAACACAGATCTGATCTGCTGTGACAGAGCAAAGAACAATTCACTGATGATGATGATGTTTCACTGAAGTGTAAGAGCACACAGWAGCATATTACATCTCCTCAGTTTGTGTCCAACAACATCAAAGGCTTCCCTCCTCTCCGCCCAGTGATGCCTCCCCTGTAAATCAATTTGGCAAAAAGAAGGGAGAAAAAGAAAAGTTCTCACAAAAAAAAGTGATTTACTGAAATGCGTGTCGAAAAGAGAAGGCTCCATTGATTAGTGTGCGAAAAAAATGTTTTGAGCTTAAAATTAAACTCAGACGATTGTAAAGACGAGATAAATTTGTCACAAAAATCAAAAAAATAAAATTTGGGTGGTTTTATATTTTCTGAATTCCACTAATTTTCCAACCTAAATCAACATTATTGAAATGACCAACCAAATGTTTACCTTGCCCACTTTTCTTTGTGCATTTTTCTTTTTCTAAAGTTCAACTGAACGCAGAGCTTTTATCATTTTCAAAGCAGGTGGCATATCGCTCCGACACTGGCTACAGCACAGTAGACAAACATCGCCCTGATTAAAATCAACTATCAAAGCAAAYCATGGCCGGGATGGTGGCGACTATAATTAGGTAGTGCTCAACCAAACACCTGATAGTAGGCAGCTTGTGTACACAATCATTACATGAAAGAGACGTAWATTAAATTGAAATTCATAACTTGTCTCAGCTGTGGTGAAAGAAAAGGAGCCTTGCTTCATAACTGTTACAGATATTCTGCAGAGATATGGTTAGATGTAGTTATTGATCCAGCATGACATTAATAAAACTCACAATAAAACACAACAAAGTTAAAAAGATACCAGTTAACCTTAACTTCTTMGAATGGTCCTATATAAATTGCACATTTTGAAGTAGACTTATAACCTCTCCCAAAATAATGGGAAGCATAATTTCTGTGATAGTCAGTGCTGATGTATTTTTTTCTAACAATTTGTTAAGTTCAAGTCCAGCAAACTGTTGTTTTAAAAAAATGCTCACACAAATACACAGTATGAGCATAAAATGCTATTATGATTGWAATTCCTATAGAAGTATTAAAAATACTCATTTATTTATCTGTACTGCACTGTTACCTGCAGGTTACATTTCTCCAGTATACGCCAGTGAGGACTACATGTTTGTTCTTATATTTAACTCTTTATTATCCRTCCATTTGCTTTTTCATGCAGGGTCGTGGGGGGATGGTGCAACAGTCACTGTGTTTGAGACAGGGGACACGCTGGACAGGTTCCAAGTTCAACAAAAGGACACATTGGGACAAATGAGACTGTTATTCTCACTCACACCTCGGGGAAGTTTAGAGTTACTCTCTGCTGTCCATTTAGAGAAAGAGAGAGAAAAAAACAATAAAGATGTGTTCTCTGTAAACAGGTATTTCCTGCTAGAATGTGTTAAAGTTTGCAGCTGCTGGCGCCACGTGACCTGTCTGATTTGGAGCTACAGCACCTTGGAAATTCCACCTGTTTTTTTAAAACCATTTTGATTCTAAAACTGAAATGTTGGCCTCCACTCCTACATTTTATTTTTCACTTTTGTTGGTGGTGGTTGGGGGTGGGGGTTGAGTGTAGCTGAAAACAAGGTTAGCTGACTTTAATTTTGGTTTGACATGTTTTTGTTCCATTTCATTACTGACATGGCTGCTGACTACAATCAGATTCAGTCCTGGTGAAAAGTACAAGGGTCATTTGTGACAACATCATCCTGTGCAAACATTCTGTGAATCAGAAGGACACACCTCAAGAAACTATGACTGTTCTTCAGCATTCTACCATTTCCCCTTTAGTTTTATTYGTCGAACAAACTGTAAAAAAAATTAAATAAAACATTTTAAAACCTGACAGCCGTCCGGAGAGAGGTAGAGACTCGGAACGAATAACGGAGGAACGGAGAGGAAAAAGGGAAGTTGATGTTTTGCGCAGAAAGTGAACGAGGGCGGGACTTATTGTAAGCAGAAAAACAGGAACCAAGTGATAGCAAGTAACAAAGTGCACCTGCACACCTGAGTAAAGCCACTCCTTTCCCAGAACACATCAGAGATGGTCAATTAGCTGAAGGAGGAGGTTGTTCTGAAACCTCAGAACTTTAATGCTTTAATTTTATTTTTTGAATGAACTGAAGGGTTTGATTTTTTTTATAATTATTATTATTATTYATAACCTAAAATTCTGCAGAAGATTTAAAAATATTTTTAATCCTTTGTACACTGGAGTAAGATGTGGTCCGTAAACGTGATGTACCTTCTCCTGTTTTGTTATGGTGAGTAACAAGCCACGRATATGAATGTTTGATTTGCTACATATGTTGGTAATTCTGTGTAGACAGTRATGTAAGGTTTACTACTTAAGATTTAACAAAACTTCTAATGTGCTCCAGGCTGATAAATCCTGACATTAAAACAGTTTAAATGGACATTTTGAACAGTGCAGAATTGATATCCTGCATCTCCTTTCTGCACACAAGCTTGAGAAATCAAATTGCATGTATTAAAGTAACCGACAGTTAAATGTCTAAGCACACTTCAGTTTCAGCCATCAGCACAAAGTCCAGCTCCAACAATAAGGTTTGTGCGATTCTGAAACCAGAGTGTGCTGCTTTGCTTCACTTAATCCTGCTGCAACAAATAAAAAAAGGCCTGACTGGCTCCAAAACGACTGAAGGGGCATCATGTAACCCGAGGAAAAGTACTGAAAGCTATTTTTCTGTACTTCCAATTAAGAYTTTAACACTAATAGGAACAGTTGAAACAGAATTTCACCTAAATGACAACATTTATAAAAGAAAAAAATAAAATAAAATGAACCAGGCCCAGCTGAAAGAGTCTCTTTTTCTCTTCATGTTTCTTTCTAACAGCCTGCCTTTCAACTGGGAATGGTGCAGTATATTTTGTCTCCAGAAACTTTTACAATGTGCTCCACTGGGACCCTGTGGAACCTGCTTTTCCTGGGCAAAGAATATTTTACAGCGTAATGTACTGGAGGTAAGACCAGGACGACAAATGGTTTTTCAAAATGAATTGTTTTAATCATTCTTCTATATGGACAGACTTAATGAAGCAGAAATTAATTTAAAAAAAAACATTGCAGAGTGAGCAGTTGCWTAGTTGAAAGCTTACTTTTCTTACACTGTCATTTTTGCACAAGTCATTTTATTGTGCTTGAACAATCGTGAGCACTGAGGTTACTAATTGCATTCTACCGCATGTAGATTTCTGTAGGTGTAATCCTGAAAACAACTACAAATATTAAGATTGATCAAATTTAAGACAATGAAACTGTGTCTGCGTTGATAAAAAAAATTATGAATAAAAAGGAAACAACACCAACAWAAGCATTTGAATTAGAAAATTGAAAACAGTGAAAATGTAAACATGTACAAGCAAAAGTGATTAAAAAAGAAGAGTTACTTTGGACGGCAGAGAAACAGGCCTTACTCTGAGTAGGTGTCAGTTTCATTCAGAGTAACTCCTTTCGATCAGATTTTCTAAATTCAAAATAATTTTCCACAGCTCATAAATTGTTCCACACGATTACATTTAAAGAAAATAAACTACGCCTTTTTTTGTGAATTCCTTACAATCCGTAGAGCTAACTAACAGAGCTACATGCAGTGATCAAATCTGGGTTAAAATACAAAAACCAAACCCTACACTGGCCTACATGGCTGAAATGAACAGCTTCAGTTTCAAAGCCAAGAACAGGTCGGGCCATTWCCACAAACCCAGCGCAGCTGCTTTTCTTTTACAAAAACACATTTATAGTGTTGAAGAAAACAGAAAATACTTAGTGGGTGAGAAAAGCAACAAAAATGGTGCTGTCCAGACTATTTTTCAAAAACGTACATGCAAAGACTCGGCCTGCAACGTACAGTCAGTGAGAGAGTGACTCAGCTGATACTGGACTTTTTTTTGGTTTACATTGACTGCTGCAAAATATATAAAATTACCATCCTTTATTTTAAAACTTGTTCCTCTTCTTTTGCATTCTTAAAGGGGAATTCAGAGGCCAGAGGTTTCCCAGAATCAGTTTTCCYAAAGCATGCAGATTTGAGGTGTACTATGGCATTTCAAAGCAGCTCAGAAATGATCACTAAATAATAAAAGGGCTCATTTTCTGTGTTTACTATATATTCTGGCTGCTGTTCRTTACAGAGAACATAATATGCTTTATTTCATCTAAACTTGTTTGACTGTAAATGAACAAAGTAAAAACACTGCATTCCTGCACAAATCTCAAGTGCAACTTCAATCCAACTGATGTTTCTCCAAATAAAATCTCATTAAAAAAACATAATAAAAGCTGTGCAGCAAATCAAATGACTTAGTTTAACTAAATATAGGTTAATGTCAAATCGTGTTTAAGTTAAGATAATTAAAACATGACTAAATTTGCACAATTTACACTCAACATTGCCCTGCAGTTTATTAAAATATTGACTGTTTTGTATTGAACTTGTTACAGGGATGATCAGGAAAAATACCAGGACAAATCAGAGTGTCAAAACATTACTGAACCGTCATGCGACCTGACAGCGGAAACCCCCTCACAGCCTAATATTTACTACAGAGCTAAGGTGATGGTTAATGGGAGCTGTCTCTACTTCACCACCAGATTTGAACCTTTAAGAGACAGTAAGACCCCTCTGCACTAATACACTCAATTTGTTATGTATTTCAAGCTAAAAGTATTCAATCACAGAAATCATCTACTGTCCTTTCTTTGTGTCCATAGCTGTTCTCGGACCACCACGTTTGTCTACACGCACAACAGCGTCTGCCTTGTTTGTGCATGTCACCCTGCAAGAAGGGCCAAACGGAGTTTCCATTGCAGASATCATCAACTCCAGCAAAGAGGGCTATTCCAGAGCTGTGCCCGAGTATATTTTAAGAATAACAAAGCCTGAGTGGGCTGCACAGGTTAGTTSTTTAAACATTGTCACAGATAACAGATTATCATATTGACTAATCTACATAAACTCACAAAGTGAAGGAGGAAGTAAAACGGGTTTTACTTTCATGGGTTCTTTTACAGAAACTAAACATTAAAAATGCTTAGCTTATTACTTATTCCTAATGTGGAAAAATAATCCTTACATAAGTGAATTAAAATTTTATTATACCAAAGCAGACAATTAGCCTCTTAAAATAACACCAGAAAAAAATTGCAAGCATCGCTGTATTTGCCTTTTCAGCCCTGAAATATTGGGTTGATTTCACCTGGTGACAAGTGACCACTCATCATCCATAYCCTGCTGTGTCTCCAGGTGATTAAAAACGCCGCTGGTCGATTTGACGTCAAACTGAAGGCCAACCAGACGGAGTACTGCGGTGATGTCACCTACACACTACGTGAATGGGGTCGTGCGGACAGTGAGACCGCTACTTTCTGCGTCACTCTGCAAGGTGAACAAAACTACATTTTACATTTCCTGAACAGTTCAATCACACATATACACACGTGTTTTTCTATATTTAAAAAAACAGACGTACATCACAAGCGTGTGATGCTCTGCAGATTTAAACAGCCAACATGAATGCACCCTTAAAATGCAAAAATCTGATTCCACTTGAGGCAACTGTGTGATGCTCAAATTCCTGGGAAGCTTTGAAGGCGCATCTGCTACGAAGATAATTAAGATACTTGAAAATGTTGTACTTTTCTACATTTTGTTAATCAGCTTGAGCTCATTTTTAKGAGTGATTGCAACCACTTGAAAATAATGCAATGTTTAGTAAAATTATATGTTGTAAATTTGTCTCTTTTTTTAAGTTACCATCAATAAAACTTAAGAAACCCACAACTTTAAGCTAACCCAGCCTCATGCTGCCTTTTCAGGAAGTAGTAGAAATAATGCACATATATGTTAATGCTTTAAATGTGTGCTTTTCTTCTTAAACATCAAATGAGACTAAATAAAGTTAAGAGGTTAATCTAATCCTTTTTTCTCGTTTTTTTGCCACTTCAGTAGAAAGCCAAACTGAATATTTATTTCTTAGTTTCTTCATCATCAGTGATTTTTTTTAAGAGAAAAAAGAAAGAAGCAAAAAAAGTGAAACATAATTGGAAAGAGTGAACAAGCGAGTAGAAAATATGTGAAATATTTATCGAGAAAACACAAGGCAACACACCCAACATATTGGCTGCACACCTGAGATAACAAAAACACATCCAGAGGTTAATCTAATCTATCGGAACTTACAGCCACGCCTTTTACCAGACATGACTGTGATGGCAGTTCTTTTCTATCTTAGATCATCCTGGAATGCTTTTACGATGGCTTCTCGTGAGTCTTGCGGTTCTGTCAGCAGCAGTCATAATACTAGTTGCCAGCGTGTGCACCTATTTGAAGGTCGGGAAGTTAAAAAGAATGCCACAAGCACTGGTAAGTCCACTCTGACGTCACAGTCCTTCCTTGCAACTGGGAAATGCTGCCTTACGGGAATATCATGCCCTCTAGCACATTACTTTACACATGTACAGTTTGACACTTAAAAGCAGCAACCTAGCAAAACTGACACACTGGTTGTGTTATTTTAGCAAAGTAAAAAAAAAGGACCAACTGTGTTCACTGAGTCATATTGCTTTCTGACATTTGTTTGTGAATGTTAGCTTTGCTCATTGKGTAAATGTTTGACACTGACAGATCTCTCTTCATTGTCTTTCAAACAGGCCGCCACACCAGCGAGCTTAAACTTGTTACAGCATCCGGATAAGAACCTCATCATATCTGAAATACTTTCCGTCACGAAAACGGACCAAGCAATTTACAACACAGTCCAGGTGAAGTCGAAGGTGTCCCCGCACAGGTCTGGAGGTTATTCCCCTCAGGACACCCCCTGCCACATCTGCAGGTGCGACACAGACTCTTCCACGAGAACGCCGGAAACGGCCTCCCACTCCGAGGATGGGAGCGTCCCATTCTCTGAAAGCTACGGTGCAGTCGCAGTTCATGGCCAGGCGAAAGACAGGGAAGAGTTCCAACAGCTTGTCTACGACAACAACATCAATCCTTCACCTTTCTACACTAATCAGCAAGGAAACTGGGGGATAGGTGGGATGATCCCAAAGCTGATTCCATCCGAATCCAGTGAGGACAATCATACTCTGGTTCTGCACGCTGTAAGGAATATTAACGGACAACTCGTCTTGCCTTTATTCCGATGTCCATCAGAGGACAGCACTGGTGACACACCATCCCAAATGAACCCAGAGAGGAAACCCCTCTTATCAGACCTCCAGGGTGTGTCTTTAACATGTCTGCAGAGGTCAGACAGCTCCGACTGGACGGATTCGGGMTGTGACGACAGCATCGTCAACACGCCGACAAACCTTTACTACAACACAACTTATTTCATCTCGCAAAAGGCCGGTCCTGATTTGCGTAACGGATGTGAGACTTTAGGATTTAACGACGTYATAACCGAATCAGGCTACAAACAAAACTGGGTTCCTGAAACCCACCACAAACTCGAGTCCACCGGCTGGACTTCTATCGGTCCAAAAATGGACGAGGAAGTTGAGGAAGACGAAGGCACAATGAGTATGGAGAACTCAGAACAAAGTATTCTGGGACACTGGGACATAAAAGTTCAAACATGAGTCCCCACTTTCTAATCTTTTAGAAATATACCTTTGTGTACAACTCTTCACAGCCCTTCTTATAAACACAAACGACGGGAAGAAGAAGTTGGCAGGAGGTCTGAAGGACACTTCGGCTGTGAGATGTGCTGCCGACTGTGTAGAAAAATGGAGTGAACATTTATTGCATTCTTAAATACAATAAATCATGCATTGTTGTATTTCCTGTTTAAAAGTTCACAACTGTATTTTTAATGAAAAGGTTTAGAAGAAGTGCACCGSTAAATTGGCTACAAATGGGTTTGCCTGTTTAAGTCACTGTTTAAYGAAACAAATGCGCATTTCAATGAACTGAAAATGTGTTTAACATTTATTTTGTAAAGCAGCAAACTACAAAGGAAAACCACTCAAAGATCATCTAAATTACACTTTAACCGAGCACCATGAATAACAATGCAAACCACTATCACTGCAAACTGTTTCAAGTCATTGCACTTTGTAATTGTACAAATCATTCCTACTAAGTTTTGGGTATGAAAATGGATTCCCTGATAATGTGTTTTCCCACAATGCAAATATATGTATAATAATAATAATAATAATAATAATAAACATTTTGGACCATTGGAGAGGATCAGATAACTTGATCAGAAACTAATCTTATATGTTCATCATCATAATTCAGTGTTAACAGTAATGTACAGATTTAAATACATAAACATTTGTTATCACAAAACTCAAAAGTTTAATTTTGTTATCGTTCCCTGTTTTTTTCAGAGAAGATAAAGAAATCTGTTGTATATATATTCTTGTGAGGTCATGGTGCAACGTCAGCYGCACTAATACTGAACAGCTTTGCGTTTAAAAGCTTGAGTGCAATCTTTTATGTATACCTGTGGAGTAATAATGTCAATGTCTGTTAATGCAGACATCAGTTACATATAAACATTGTATAGAGTACAGTGCAAATGTACATATTTATCTGTCAAATGGATGTTAAATAATCTCATCTTTGTTATGTATTTTTAACTTGATATAATATTTGTGGGAAAGTTTCATGTATGCTGGAAAACTGAGTTTAAAACATTTGTGTGCAACAATAAAATGTGAACACAGTTTTCCGTTTGTGTATCGACTGCTATGGCAAAGGACGATGTTTAAATATTTTGAACTTTGACTRCTGATAAATGTAATAAACTATTGTGCAACATTAAAGTGCAGTCTATAAGTAGTCTACTGTGTGATAAGAGATGAGGCAGAATCTGAGAAGAGTCCAAAGTTCATTGGAGCAGAGTTTTACTAAGAATTGTTGGTTTTCATTCCAAGAATGAATACAATGCAATTAAGAGAAGTTTTGTACTATGCCAGCTTAGAAATAATTCAAGTAAATACAAATCATAATTGGTACTAATATATTAGATTGTCATACAAACACTTYTGGAACTGTGAAAGGGAACTTTTCTAAAAAGATGTTTTTCTACTTCCCAGGTCAGGTTCCAATATCCTATAAAAGCAGCCATTTAAATGACCAGGAGATTATGTCACCATGAATGAATCTCAGGTTTAGAACCTATTGTGAGTTGGTTATTTATCTGAAACCTAATACAAGACAATAAAAGCTTTATYTAGTTACAATTAACAAGGAAATAGTAACAGATATAGCAGTTTACACCTTTAYGCTTTTAAATCCTTCCTTTTCACATTTAAATCATTCCTTTGGGGTCTTTATAAAGTTGAACTACAAAGCTTTGGTTTAAATTCTTCCTTGTGTCTCAAGGCAGCTTGATGAGATACTGTTCCTTTAGCTACCCCCCCCCCCCCCTCCGGCTTCCAGACCGGTCCACTCCAGTTTGAGAAAGAGGGTGGTTACGTCTGTCAACAACAGAAGACTTGGCTGTCCAACCTTGTTGGAGCCAGAGTCTGACCCAGATCGAAAAGAGAATGAAGACGAGGAAATTGTAGTTGGTAAGTCCAGCCCTTATTTGGCAATTCGGTCTCAGATAATTTGACAAAATAGACTCAGAAAACATCATAGAAAATAGAGAAAACTGAATGAGTTGAAAAATATGAACCCAACAGAATATAAAGACATCTTTGCAGCACCAGGAGAGATTATTTTAAACTTTTCTGCTCTCATAGAGACTCCAACGACACAACAAAATGTCTTTAACAGCTAAAAAGGTAGATTGTACCTGATATCTGTCTTTTAAATGTCATAAGTTTGAAGTGATAATTTCAAAATACATTTACAAAATAGGTTTTTGTCACTTATTTTTCCTGATTTGCTTAATTCTGTTAAAGGGGCAATATCACGTAAAATCAATTTTTTGAGTTTTATATCATGTTATAATGTTATACTCTCATAAAAAACATGCCAAAGCCTTGCTTTGACTCATTCATGCATGTTTGAGAAATCCTGCAGCATTTTTAGGCAGCCATGCTGAGGAGCAAAATGACAGGTGGGAACCAGACGTGTCTTTAAGCCGAACTTCCTCATGGCGGAGCACCCTCCCCACACACACACACCCCACCCATGACTCCTGCAGGCTCTCAGGTGAAAGTGAAAGTGAAACTTAAACTGTCTGCTAAGCTCCACTACTTCTCACTTCTCGCTCTTTTCAGATTCAAAAATATCTTTGAGGAAATGTATTTTCGGATGCCAAGTAAACTGTATCATAGCAGCCCCCTCCGCAAGTGCGACCCCCCCCCCACTCTGAAATGGGCGAGACAGAAGTGGAAGGTGGTTCTTAAAGAGACAGAGGACAATTTCAAGGCGTTTAGAAGAGGAAGTGATGAGAAGATAAGTTTATTTTCCAGTTAAACATAAAAACAGCATTTTAATAACAACTAAAGGTGACATAGATACTTTATTATGGTACAGTATTTAAATGTATGCCTGAGAAACACAACATTGCCCCTTTAAAAATGGGAGGCTGATCCCATAGGTCACCTGAAAAGATGCGAGGTTCATCTTCGACATGTCATTAGCTCATCACAGGGTCATGTATTTTTGGCAGCACGACAGCTTAGCAGTTAGCACTGATGCTAACAGCAAAAAGGTCCTGSGTTCCATCATCGGTTTGAACCAGGTGTCTTTCTGTGTGGAGTTTGCATGTTCTTCTTGTGCTTTCATGTGCTTTCTCCGGGTTCCCAGTTTCCTCCCACAGAACAAAAACATTTAGAATAGGCTGCCTTCAGGCCCAGCAAAATATAGTGTCTGTTATCTCAATGGGATTTTGACTGGTTAAATAATGGTTGATCGATTGACATACCTACTGCTCAATTTACAATCTCTAGTAAGATGCATGAGGAAAACATACCAGCTTCACACATAAAATCCCCAGCTCAGATCCAAACAGAAAGCAAAAAAACATGAAACAAAAATCCTGCTTTCTACAGCGAAACATTTTTACACGTCAAGACTAAAGACACACTAAAACATTATCCAAATAACACAATGAGTCAATAATAAACATGGTAGGATAAAATCAATGCAAACATGACAYCATGAAGCTGGCAAAAAATTTAATTTACAACAAGGTAACCTCAGAGAAACCACTTCCATTTRTGGCCATAACAACAGGAAAACAAAAGGTTTATGTGACGTTAATTCACATCATCTGCTGCTGTGACAAACATTTATAGCTCCTTGTCAAGCTGCCCCTTGAGGAATGTTTGGCTCCAGCATTTGTTGTGTATTTTTTACAACACTACAACACCTTTTTTTTTTTAAAGGAAACCTTTATCAACGTAAAACATCACATTTAATCTGAGTCGAATGTTCACACCTCAGCATACCAGTGATCTTAGTGCTGCAAAAGTTAAAGGGGAAAGTTTGGTGTCAAAAAGGCCAATTCCAAAAAAAAAAAAAAATAAGTGGAAAGCTGGGGGCAAAAACAGCCAGCAAATTTTACAACTGCAATAAAACTTTTAACAAAAATACAATTAATATGAGAAATGATTCCCATGAGTAGGACAGGACAAGATTACATTTAAAATGAAACAATATTTTCAAAAAGAAAACAACACAAAGTGGAGAAGCATAGAAAAAAGAGCAAAAGGTAATAAAAAGTGTAGTTTGTAACCAATCATTCCGACAGAGCTCTGCTGTAAAAAGGAGAACATTTTTTGTATCAAGAGGGATTTTATTTGGAGTGTGCTGCAAAGGCAGAGACCAGGAAAAGGAAATGTTGTCAAGTTTTTCATCAGGCCCTCCCATCTTGCTTATCTTTGAAAAGATGTCTGAAAAAGAAAAGGGGGGGAAATGGCTTTGATTGGCTGACAGCACTGACGGGTTTTATTCTTTCCGTCTGCCCAAAACCTACCGTTCACCTCTTTCAAACCTCTGAGTCAGGAGTACATCAAACCTGTGAGTGGCAGAGCCATGATAACATTTTAAGGGAAATGGTAGTTTAAATGAACCCACTTCTCCATGTATGAAAACAGACTTTCAATGACTGCTGTGTGTTTGTGTCTGCTCAAAATCAATGAATACAATGATGGATTGAGAGTCTCGGTCACTTCACGCAATTCTATCACTGACGGAACGTAGATGGAAGGTAACCAGGTTTGACCTTTGTACAAAAAATAAATAAATAAAATAAAAATCCAGACTTAAAATCCAGAAAAAAAGATCCGATTCATTTTGGATTAAAAAAAAAAGTTCCAGCCAGAGAGAGAGAGAGACACTGAATTATTGATAAATGATAATCATTGTTTAATGATTTCTCTAATGTTCAAATGATGAGACAACCTGTTGTAGCGCAATATAGTCCAGACCTCCCTTTCAAAAGAGATTTGGGAAGATGCTTCAAGCCTCGCCTTGGCAAAGCCATGGGATTTCCCTGGTTAAATATAAGGTTCAATAAAATAAAAACAGCGTTTGGGTCAGACACATGCAGCTGAGATGAGCTGCCTTCRTTGGGTGGCCGGGCTCAGCTTTAGAGATGTAGTGAATATCTTAGTTATCATTCAGGAGCAGAACCAGTGTACCTTCCCATCGAAAACACTTAGGAAGCAACTTTATGTGTAAAGCACTTTTCACAGKCAAGTAGCCACAAAGTGCTTCACAATAAAACTTTCACCTGAGCAGAGCATATAAAAATACATTTACAAAGGAGAAAACRTTAATAAGACAACATGACCACTCATACAAATGTTGGAAGTTTTCAGCTGCTTTTTAAAACTCTCCACTGACTCCACAGCTCTTAGAGATTTCATTTGTTCTGTTATTATCACAGATCTCTTTTTCAAGGGTGGCCTGCAGTAATGTGCTCCAAAATTTAGGAGTTACAACCTGTAATGCTCTGTCTCCACGTGTGTGTCTGTGAGGGTATAAAGCAGATCTACTATGGCCGTGCAACACTCTGGATGTCTTAGTGGAGGTGATTTGGACATTTGATGAGGATGCCTTCCTTTGGGCGTTCTGGATTGTCTTTGTGAAGACCACCCCAGAAAAGACCCAAAACCTGCTGGAAGGACCATCTGTCCTCTCTGGCCTAGGAATGCCTTGGGGACCCCCCATGAGGAGTTAGATAATATTGCTGGGAAAAAGGATTACTGTTGTCTCTGCGACCCGTCTACAGATAAGCAGAAGATGGAGATAGAGATGATGCCAAATCTAGAGGGCGATTTTTTTTTTACTGACAAAAACAACTCCAAACCAGCAGCCTGCCATCCTGCTGGAAAAGGAGCCAAACTTTTCCCAAACCTAATTATTTGATAAATTGAAGTCTACGTGTAATCGGATGCAATCACTTTGCTCCCTTCCTGCATTCTGATGATCTCTTAATGGGCCTTTGATTAAAAAAAAGCAATGGACGCAACTGTCAAGGCCTGGCCAGGAAATGACTGATTGTCTGGGACTTTTGTGTCCATTAAGGTTTATTCTGAGCTTAATAGCTAATAAATAAAAAATGAAAAAAGAAAGAAAAATCATCAATATTTAGTTTCAACTAAGGCAAATTAAGTCTTGAGACAGGCTTTTTCTTAAAAGAATGAAAGCTAAACACAATGRTAAACTAATGTTGATAAGCAACAACACTGCATACCTCTGAGACTGTTTATCAGCAAAGTCATTCAGAGCTACTTCTGCAGTTGAGGTACAAAACCAGACAGCACTGATGTGAAATGCTCCCATAGTGGAATCAAAATCTGAAGACGCTCCCAAAGAAAGACTAAATTATAGAAGGTGCCTGGCAACTGTTGTGTCCCAGTTATTCTTAGCCTGGCAACCTGAGCTTGTATTGTGTGCCGATTTTCCAAAGGCAGGTGTGGCCACCAAAAGCTTAAAAATAACCTCTCATGCTTCCATACAGTACTGTGGCCTTGAATGATGCTCTCTTCTCTCGCTGTGTGTGTGTGTGTGTGTGTGTGTGTGTGTGTGTGTGTGTGTGTGTGTGTGTGTGTGTGTGTGTGTGTGTGNGTGTGTGTGTGTGTGTGTGTGTGTGTGTGTGTGTGTGTGTTTAGTTCCTGTCAATCAAATCAGCACTGGACAAGCAACCACAAAACCACATAGATGTGTACAATAATAAAAGTGAAGTGAAAACAAAAACTGTCATCACACAAAAAAAATTTAATAAATAAAAAAATTAGAGAACCAGAATCATACAGATTAATCCTTTGTTTTGGCAGCCATTTTGGATCACTTTTGTACAGAAAAAGAAGACAAATTATGCATCAAAATAATGAAAAACCTTCGTTTTCTGCTGCTGGTGGTTTTATAACTTGTGTGGATGTAATGCTTTAAAAAAGTAAGAATATTAATCATTTTTTGTCRTGTTTTGGCTGTTTGTTGGTGAGGATTCGCTGCGTGTCCCCCTGTGATTTATATTGATCATTATATTTTTTTTATTACAATCATGCTGGGAGTAAATATGAATGGTAGAAAATGTAGTTTATACCTTTCATCTGAGCCCTCAGGGAAGTCTCTGTGTTGAAACATTTAGGAATTAAAATATTTGGAAACATCTAGTTTGGACAGTTAACAAGTTAAGACAAAGTGATTTATTTAAAGACGCCTTATTATTAAAAAAAAAGGTTTCTGTTCGACCAATTTTTTTAAAAGTGAGAACATTTCAGTCCGGCTCTGAATTCAGAGAATCTCAGCTGTTGCTGGACAGTTAGGAACTTCAAAGTTCAGATGTTAAAAAAAGAAACCAGATGGTTCGAGCCTCACTCATGAACCAAATGTTCAGTATCCCCTTCTTTTTTTATTCTCTCATTAAGCTTATTTCTCTTTCATTTACTCCTCTGTRAACACTCACAATAATTCCACTCTCCTCTGATGTCCAGCTTCCTCTTTCCTGGACTTTTTATTAAACACGTGGGGGATTGTGAACGCACTGAGAAGGATTTTTAAAAATTAGAGGCAGTCAGTTGAACTGGCTTTTTATTTCTGATTGTCAGGTTTTATTGAATGGGGAGTTGCTGAGTCATTTGTGTTTTCACCATTTGTCCAGAGAGATATCACTAAATCGATACAGTTGTTAGTGATCATGTGTGTGTGTGTGTGKGGGGGGGGTGCTTTTAGGAACAAATGTGGCTTAGGTTGTGTGTGTGTGTGTGGTCAGGGAGGCTGTCATTGGTCTATATTTACCAACTTAAGAATGAGAGAGCRGTGTGTTGTCCACATAGTTGGCACCAAAGGACACTTTTGTGTCCAGGGTCACCCTCACCTTTTCTTCTACCGAAACACAGAGAGAGTGAAGTGGATGGGGACAGACAGTGAGAGGTAATAACGAGAGGTGAGACAAGGTGAGGAACAGAAAGGCAGACAAAAGAAAAAAGGAATACTGTCCTACATTTCTCAGCAACCCAGAAAAAAAAATCTTTGAAAGATCAAAAACAAAGGGTAAGTGGTATTTGTTTACTCAAACTTCTTCTTGATCCGCTACAAATATCGTTCAGGGGATTTTGCTTTTTAAATCGGTAAAATTGGTGACTAACTCATTATCTAACACACTAACACAACGCCTGTGTGAACCACAACTGCYAAAAGCTAGTAATTAGTCAGTCTTTGTGTCGTCTAGGAAGATTCCTTCCTCATTCATCCTGGCTGTTTGCTTGTTTCACCAGTTGAACTTCTTAATGGGCTCGTTTTTTGATGGCCTCTGGATGCAGCTTTTAATTACTCTCTTTGGATGTTAGAAAGCAACTTCTCATTGTGAGCAGACAAAGCTTTCTTTAGCGTACAGAAAGGTTAATCAGCTTCTATCGTAACAGCTTTCAACTGAATAAAAAGGTGAGTATTTCACTCAAGAGACTAAATGACAAAAATATAAGAGACTAAAAGCTGCAATGRGTGTAGAAGTGCCAGTCTGCTTTCGCTCCTTTTTTCCCTCCAGAGACCTTGGATCCAGGCCTACCTTTGGAAATTGATCAATTATGATGTGCTTCGGGTCGAGCTGCTGTTAAAATTGCTCAAACAATCCTTTCCCTTTTTTACGGCAATAAGCCACAAAAAAAGAAGGAATCAGCTGGCATGCCTTTCGTTTTAACTCGTTATCTACATCCCCACTTTTTTTTCACAGTGTTATCAAAAAAGGATGAAAAGATAAAGCACTTTACGGTATCAACGCTGTTTCTTTCTATTGGGAACAGCTTGAATGAAGCTATCACTCAGATGCGACCTAAATCTGTTTTTTGGGCGCATTCTGCGTTCGCTTTTCCAAAGCAGCCACATGATTAATGACAGCGAAGGTGTGAACAGCAGCAAGGCGGACCCCAGCTGATGGATTATTAGGGGCTCAGTGGCCCACAAAAGGGTGATTCATTTAACCTGGGACTGTAACACCTTTCCAACTGAAAACAAGAAAAGAAAGAAAGAAAAAATACACGTTTTGGAATACACTGAACAAAGAAACAAATTTTTACCTTTGTTTTATTAACTGTATTTGAGAGAAAAATAACAATTGAAATAAGGCACTCAAAAATGTCAATTTAAATTATGTTTTTATATTCATATTTATAGCCAAGAAAATGGTCAATTTTTCTTCAGAAGAATTGACAATAACATATTTCTTATGTATCCTAAATACTTTAAATCTAAGCAACTTTTCCTTAAAACAATACATTCTAAATTTTAAGTGTTTTGTCACTAAATTAATCAATCAATAACCTTCATTTAACCAGGTGGAAAACCCACTGAGATCAGGATCTCTTTTACAAGGGTGACCAGGTCAAGAGGTCCGCACGACACGTCACAGAGTATATCAGAGTTACAGTTTACATGGCAGTTAAAGTATAATTCAATTTAAAAAAAGTTGTTATAAAAGAAGGCATATTAATAAAAATAACCCTTTTCTGTGCTTAGCACTTAATATAGCAGCATTTAAGGCATCATCAGCGCTTTGTTAGGAGTAAGCTTTACTAAGTTGGTATTTAAATAAGTACTTATTTGCAAAACCTTCCTCCTGAATTTCTCATAAGTTGTCAGTAAACATGAGGTGAGAGAAATGTAAATATTTCAGGAAAAAAAAACCTCTAAGTCAAATATTTTCTCAACACTTTTGAGCTCAGTTTGCTTTGTGGTGTTGGGAAGTGTCAGGCTGGATAACTGCAGGCTCTCGTCAATGGCTTATTGTCTCAGTACACCACCTTGAGACACGCTTCAAAAGGGAGACGASTCAAATGTCCATTAAATGTGTTGTAAGGAAAAGAATGGGTGAAGGAGAGGGCAATGATCCTGGAATCCTCATCTTTGTAATTATAATGTTTAATGTAATAATAATGATTTATTGTATAGAAGTCTGGGGAAATGAATGCAGAACAATCACTAACCCTATTTTTATTTTACAAAAAGAGCCATAAGAATTATCACAAGAAAGCATTACTATCACCCTTTTAACATATTGTTTCATCAATTAAAATTATTACCATTTTATGAGTTGGTTAATTATAAAATTCTGCAGAACTTTTTCATGGCAGAGCGCACGCCCTCCCCGCTCCCCACACACCCGCCCATGACTCCTGCARGCTCTCGGGTGAAAGTGAAAGTGAAACCTAACTGTCTGCTGAGCTCTCAACATTAGTTCTCACTCAGTGAGGCTCTTTTCAGATTAAAAATACCTTTGAGGAAATGTATTTTCAGATGCCAAGTAAACTGCATCATAGCGCATTCGCA